TTCTCTGATATTTCCTAGGACTCATTCACTGCAGTTTTGCAGTATTACTTGATGGGTTTCACACCACCAGTTGGCTTGCTTGAGGAATCAGAAGACACGTTCATACTAGAGCAGCGTATAAGAACTCAGTGTTTTGCTCAGGAGGAGCACTCGCCTGGCATAAGCCACAACTGTTTGAGTGTGTACATGATTGCCCAGCAATCTACTGAGAAAAGACAGACTCTTGTGAGTCAATATTAGTTTCATGAAATAAATAATTTGCAAAGAAAAGGCAGGGTCCCAAAGGCTTGCCATTTCCTCCAGCTATAGGTGCATTTTCCCCTTCTCTTTTAAGGAAGTTTAGAAAATGTAACCATGGATATTTTATTTGCTAGTTAATGCTCGCAACCACTAGGTTTTGTTTCAGTTTTGATCTTACTGTGCCTTGGAGTTACAAGATTTCACTTTATGCTGTTTGCATTACCACAAACTTAGCTCAATGTTTGTGAAGCACCTGTTGGATTTTTCAGCCGTCACAGTTCTAACCTCAGATACTGGAAGCCTACGTGGGCAGATTGGTTTGAAGCCCAGGAGGTAATACAAGTATTCAGCATCACTGAAAATAAAAATTGAGTGGTGGGTCCCACCAATCTGTGTGCCAGTAGTCACTGGAGAAAATGATAGAATTGTTCTTGCTGCCAGCCAAATTTGATTCTTTCAGCAAAGTGACCATTTGCAACAGTGCTGCAAGTCCTGAATCAAGCCTGAACTTAGCCATGAGTGCTTGGGGAGTGCTGATGGGAACTGTCCTGCTGAGCAGATATAACCAATGAATATCCATCAGCCTCTTGAATTTTCAAACCATTTAAAGCAAGGATTTCGATCAGTCAGTAAGTTACATTATGAGTATCGAAGTTTTAGTCATACCTTTTCCACAATAAGTAGAAACCTAAGGAAGCTCAGCTGTCTTGAACCTTAGTCAGAAAGCAGCAAGCTGTCAAGTGGAGGAGAACGTTTCTGTCCCTATTCCTCTCTGCTCTCCAGCATTAGCCCAACCGTTCTTGAAACTAGCCTTGAGCCTTAGATCATACTCCCACTGATATTAGTCAGAAAGCTAACAGAAGAACCTTTTGCTAGTTCTAACATACACCAGTACCAAAATACTGTGATGTGGTTCCTCGTTACTGGCATGAGGGAGATAATATAGCCCATCTTCGCAGTAGATTTTACTCTCTGAAAAGGAAATTTTCCATGAAGCCACACTTGCTTCTCTGCTTTTGGGAAAAAAAAAATTAACAAAATTTCTGTAAGGAGCAGGTTTCTTTTAAGAAAGTTTTCAACAGAAGTCATTATCAATAGGTTAGCAGACATCTTTTTACTTTTTGATTCAGTAGGGAGGATAAGCCAGATCTTTCTCCAAAGGATAACAGAGCGACATAGACAACTGTGTTGGCTCGAAACACTGCTGCTCATTGGTACTTATTAGTTTAATAGCTACAGCAGTCTAAAGAGCTGTACACTACTGCCCTTCTGAGGCAAAGAGGAACCAGAGAAAACAGCTTTTATTTAACCAGAATATGGTGATTAGTCATAGCTATGATTTTTAATTCACATTTTCACATTTGAGAAGGGCCCTCCATGATGAGTTTTTGTTTTGCCAGACCTTCCTCCCTATGTTGGGCCTTCATCAGCTTCCCTTCCTGTCACCTTGTTTTTCCTCTTACCTGCTGTGGTTTCTTCAAACTCCTCTCCTATTTTGAAGCAGGTCTCTGTGCTTCTGAAGATGCTCTTGCTTTTGATGATTATTAGATCTCCATCAGTGCTGATGAGTACAGCACTGTTTAGCCAAACAGCCCAGCTGCCTGCTGGCCAAAGACACTCCTGCAAGTGATACAGATCCCAGTTCACCTAGATTTCCAGGATTAGAGGCAGCATTGATTTCCTCATGGCTATTAAGTACTCCACTCCTTATCAGTAATGTTACATTACTCAAGGTCTGTTCCCCAGAGAGCAGGCAGGGTTTGTATTAGATGCCATCAATGCCACAAGCCTCTCTCTCATCACAAGAAATCTCTCTCAAGGGAGAAGAGACCATCAGTAGAATAATTCCTAAATATGAGAGAGTCCATGAGCTGGCTCAGAGATAATTATTTGCTTTGAAATAAACAAGCAAGTCAGCCCACAAGCTCATTTTCTTTAGCTTGTGTTTTTGAGTCAGCATATTTGCAAGTCATCTGCAAATAGCTCAGATTCACTTTAAATAGGTGCAAGTAAATGAGTGCCTAGGGAGGCTGAATTTGTCCTAAGCTGATTTGCATGGAATGGGTACTTCACTTTTCTCCGTAGAAATCCTATCCAACAGCACAAGAGTTGCAGACAGCTGTTTGCACCCACGGAAAAGCCATTTCACACTTTCAGGTCATAGTATTGAATATAAAAGCCATATTTCTCTTCCAAAGAAATGAATGCTAATTGTAGTAAGCTGCACACAGAACAGTTCCCCAAAGGCAAGAGAAGTAAGTGTAGGAACCGAGTTCAGCAAGATCATGTCCTTTCTATATGAGGCATTGCCACATTCTTCACCCAACTCTTCCAAGTAGTATTTTTCTGGATTTGAGTTTTGAAATTCCTAAAAACTGCTCACACAGGGTTCAGTGTTTCTCAAGCCAGTAATCCTAAGTAATAAACAAGATGCTGACACAAACTTCAGCCCCTTTCCCAGAGTTCTTGGCCACGAGGGCACACTGCTGCCTCACGGTCAACTCGTTGTCCACCATGACACCCAGGTCTTTCTCCGCAGAGCTGCTCTCCACAAGGTCGGTCCCCAGCCTGTACTGGTGTCTGGGGTTATTCCTCCCCAGGTGCAGGACCTTGCACTTGGCCTTGTTGAATTGCTGAGGTTTTTCACCGCCCAGTTGTCCAGTCTGGACATGTCTCTCCTCTTTTCCTCTTACCTCTGAGAAAACCAATGAAGAAAGGCATTAGGGCTGCTATTAATAAGAAAAATATTTTGTTTCTTTCAGGATTAACCCAAAGTCAATAGATGTATAAAAACTAAAAAAGAATGGACCAAACTTAAGATTTAGCTGTTCCCCCTGCCTCCCCCCCGAAAAAAAAAAAAAAAAAAAAAAGAAAAAAAAATTTTTCTTAAAAAAAAAAAAAACAGAGTTGAAAAAATCATTTTACTCACAAAAAGTCTGTAATCTTAAAGGGACAAGAGGCTAACTAATCATACATATGCACACATATTTAGCCCTTGTAGTGATACAGTCTTGGAACTGGCTGGATGGGAAGCTGCTTTGCCAAAAATGCCCTGACTGTCTTGGTGGACAACAAGCTGAGCCCTGCCAAAATAGGAGGCCAGCAGCATCCTGTGCTGTATGAACAACAGCACAGCCAGTAGGTTGAGGGAAGTGAGACTTTCTTTACTTGATGCCCGTTTGCTCACACCTGAAATGTTGCATCCAGTTTTGCTCCTCCAATACAGGAAAGACACTGATAAACAGGAACAAGTTCAGCAGAAATCACCAAGCTGTCGGGGCTGAAGCACTCAACCTGTGAGAAGAGGCTGAGGAAACTGGGCCTATTCACCCTGGAGAAGAGATGGCTTCAGGGTGAAGCCCTGGTAGCTCCCCAGGAGGGGAGAGTGACAGGAAGGTGACTGAGGAGCTGGAGACAGACTCTTCACAGCAGTGTGTAGCAGGAAGATGAGACATGGGAATAAATGGAAACAAGAGAGGTCCACACTGGATATAAGGAGATCCTTTCCACCACAGTCAGGCAGGTAGTGGCACAGGTACCTCTGAGAGGTCATGCCATCTCCATCCTTGGAGATTTTCAGCACCCAACTACACAAAGCCCTGAGCAACCTGTTCTGAGCTCAGAGATGACCTTGCTTGAGCAGGAGACTCAACTGGAGGCTTCTGGAGGTCTCTTCTCATCTGGATTTCTATATCAATAATTTCTTTAAAATAGTTACTTCCAAGGTTAACAATTCCCCAGATATGTGGAGCAATGTGATCCACTAAGGAAATTTATCTCAAGAGGAATGCAGGGGCTGGAATGTCTGCTTATAATATTTGCCATTGGAACAGTATGTTACAACCAGAAACAAAGTATAAGAAATTGCTTGCCAGCTTTCTGATACAGCTATAAGAGGACCAGTCAAAGTGGGGCCCCGTTATGCTGGACATGTCTCAAATACCTTGCTTCTTGAAGAGTACAAACGAAAGTAAATGACACGTGCAGGGTTGATATCAGAGCCTAGCTTTATGCCAGAACTAGTCATAGCGCTAATTATTGAGGCATAGGTCTTCAGAAGACATATGAGCAAAAAGGAAAGAAATCATCTGTTTAGTTTGTTCATTTGCTTTTCGCAGAATCATATATCCCCTCTCCAGCACACGAAAGCCAAATAAAACCTATTGGTCAGTTGTTTTAGACGAGGCAACTGAGGGAGATCCCAGGCAAGGAAGCTGCTCTATTCTCTCAGATATTTCCCACTCAAAAGTCTCTTTCTCCTGAAAATCCACTCCTTCCTGTAGTATGGTTGCTGTGTAGACAAAGTCTCCAGATAAAGTCTCTGACTGTGCTGGTGTAGAAAGCAACTTAAACAATCACCACGAGACCTTCTGTTCTTACAGTCAAGGAATTTTGCTGTGTTCACTTGATACAGAGGAGTGAAATGAAAAGAAGGGTATGGAAGGAACATAACCCTTTCTGGGTTCAGTCTTCTTTTTCTTCCCAAAGCAAGTGTGACTTAAATATTTGTCTTTAATGAGAGTGTTCTTGAATGATAAAAATAATTAAATAAAACCAAGACAGTGATCTTTGTGTTAGTAAGGGCATATGAATAATAGCACTATGACCTACTGGCAAAGGAGGGGAAAGGAGAGGAAGGAAAACACTGGGCACTGAGACTGCCTCTTCATTGGTCATCCTAGAGCATCATGTGGCCAAGGCTCCTTTTTAAAGATAACTCCTGGTCTCCTGGAGCTCATACTACTCTGCAGTCCTGTATTTCTGCTTGATCCTGTAGAAGACTGCTCTCCAGCCTGACAGAATGGTCGACCAGTTTGCAGGCACCTGGAAGCTCGTTTCAAGCGACAACTTTGATGAATATATGAAAGAGCTGGGTGAGGAATACTGTTTGGTGCTCTCTGGGCCTGGGCCAGGGAAAAAAAATTGAATGGGAACTTTATTCCTTACTTGCTTTTCTTGGCTATTCTTTTCACCAAGGGCTTTTTACTCCAGCTAGTTTAATTAGACAGTCTTAAACTGGAGAATTGGCTAGTGGTGCCAAATTCATATAAGAGAAAAACCTTGATTGAGAGGAATAGTTTCAGGCAAGCCAAGTCTATGCATGCCTACTTAGTAGTGCTATAAATGCAGGTAAACACATTACTGCAATATTTTTTGTGGATTTACTTTTATCCTTTGGAGATGCAAAGTATGATGCTAAAATGCAGCAAGCTTCACTATGGCTAAATATATATTACAATGGAACTAGTAGACAGGTTAATTGTCATGACTACTATAGTGAATAAAGTTTTCCGTAGTTGTCTCCACAGCATACTGGTATAGAAAACACCATGGATTCCAGAATAAATACCTGGAAAAGACTTCAGGGATAAGACCTTTCTCTATAGGTGTAGTTTCTGTTTTGAATTAAATTTAGAGTCTGAACACTACTCACTGACACTTCTGCAGCATTTCAGTGAGACTCTTGAACTCTTAATCTTTACCTCAGATTTTACTCAGGACATAAGCTTTGCCAGCTATTTCTTAATCATTTCCTTTTATTCAGTCTAGCCACAGATAAATATATCTGTAAGTAAGTTTTTTTTGGTTTATTTATTTGTTTGATTTTGTGGCCCAAAAGCTCTCATATATTTCTGCTTCTTCACTTTTAAATAGTACTATGACAGCACCTGACACTAAAATCTTGTCTCAGGTTTCATGTTAATTTTGCTGTCTGATAATGTCTGCGGAGAGAATATTCTTACTTCATCCACTTATCTAAGTATGTAAATGGACCAGCTACTGAGATTTTACAAAGGAACATCTGCAACATAAGCTTACTAAAAGTTTAA